TAATGTTTTTGATAATGTAATTTATGTATGTAATTCTAATAAAATATTAATAACAATAATAAATATTTAATTATAAAAATAGTAAATAGTTAATACATACGTAATTCTAAATTTTTTTTTTAAATNAAATATTTAATTATAAAAATAGTAAATAGTTAATACATACGTAATTCTAAATTTTTTTTTTAAATTTCCAATATCCGAACTTTTGCGTATCCGAACTAGGTGCGGTCCCAATTAGTTCGGATAATCGAGGTTCTACTGTACTCGTTTAGTTAAGGGTTTTGCATAGTTCACCCCACTGAAAATGATAGCCGGTATTTATGGCCGCATAGGTCATAATAATACATACATATTATCAAATATAAAGACCAGAAGTTAAATGTAATAACATTCGAGTCCCAGGGGCGCCATTTTGGGGGGTGCAAGGTGTGCACTTGCACACCCTGTAATTTTGATGTCTACTATTGGCCTGGCCTAGGCATCATTTATACTATGGCCTTCAATTTGCCAATCTTTAATTGTGTATGCACCGCTATTCACGTCTAATCATAAGTAATATTTTAATATTATTGGGTCCTTTAATTAGATAGTTGATAATTTGATATCAGTATCACTTTATCCACTGGCGTGTAAATCCTAGGTTTATAGATAATATTATAATACTATTATATTCATAGACGAAACATTAGGTATGATAATGCGTGCAAGTGGGTGGAGCTTGTTACAAGAATCGGGCGCTGAAATCGATTAGTTGTTATCGTATTTCATTCTATCAAATGATCGTTATTATATTTCTATAATTAAACTGTGACTCTGGATAAGGCAGATATGTCCTTATCTTATGGTTTATGTTTATATCGTTTATTATTTTCGATTTTTGATTAAATTAAAAATATATTTATTAATTATTTCATAAGTTATATACTTCTAAAGTTATGTATTAGAATATTAATAATTCTACACTCTACAGTTCTATAAATTATATTTACTCACTACACTGTAGTGAAAATGGATACCAATAATAAAAGGAAAAGTGGTGCAGCTAGGATGAAAGATACAAATAAAAAAAAAATATTGAAAATCTCCACTTCTTGTAAAAAAATTGACGACATGTTTTCTAAAAATGAAATTAAAGCTAAGACAAATATTGCAGTAAATCAAGTAAATCAATTTCCATCCGCCAAATCATTGCTTCAAAGAAATACAAATATTCAACTAAACTTTGATTCTATCGTATCCTCTTTATCACAACTTCCTACAGCCTTTTCTGAAACTTTAAAAATTATTTCTATACTAAAGATTCTTCCAATTAATAATGCTTCAAATGAACGATTCTTTTCATCCCTTAAAAATGTTAAAACTTTCTTATGTACTAAAATGGGAGATAACAGACTGAGTATAGCAGCATAGGTTATTATTTAAGCGGGTATCTCCGTTGCTTCACATCTACAGCTTTATATAAATCTACGCACTTAGCTTCTTCTTTCTCTACATTTAAAACCACAAGATCTGAGTGACCTATGCTGCTATGCTTTTATAATTATACCTATGCCATTATTTTATATTTATATATTGTATTAATGTTAACTAAAAACATATTAAGGTCAATATAATAATAAACTATTATATTTCAAGTTGTTCATTATTTGCATTACGCTTTACTTAATGTTTTAGTCACAAACTTAGCTTTAAATAATTAGTTTGTATTTTCCTTTTTTTTTTTTTATACCTTTATTTCAAATATAGGTAACTATTAATAGCTAAGTATGTTTTTGACACTAAAAATTCTATATTGAAAAATTAAAAACACGAGAAACGTTTTTTTAAGGATTGGCCTGGCGGTGGGAAAAATTGGCCTCTTTAATTGTTTGCACACCCCTAAAAAAAAATGAAATGGCGCCCCTGTTTCTAGCTATACGCACACATTTACATTTTGTTGACGTAAATAACCGTCTTCCAAACCACAAAAGTAAATTTTGGAAAGTTCAGCCGTTGATCGAATTTGTTCGAAATGCATGTAGAAATATACCTCGATCCATTGGTTTATATTCTATAGGCGAACAGATGGTACCTTTTACTGGCAGGTGTCCTAATCGGCAATTCGTAAAAAATAAACCACGTTCCGTCGGGCTTAAAAACTTTGTGATTACGACCACTACAGGAATGGTCCTCGATTTTGAACTATATCAAGGGGCTGAAGCTTTTTTTGAAGAGTGCTCTCTTGGATTAGGACCCACTGTTATTCTACTTTTATCGAAAAAAATACCTAAAGAATCAGTACTATTTTTTGATAGATATTTTACAACTGTCCCATTGATGAACCGATTAAATGAAATTGGTATTCATGCTACGGGAACAATCATGCAGGATCGTTTGAAAAATGTTCACTTTTCGAATGACAAACAATTTGAACGTCGTGTATGGGAGGAATTTACAAGAGCTGATCAGAAATTAACTGCCATTAAATGGAAAGACAGTAAATGTGTAACAATGGTATCGACAACAAAGGTGCAGAACCACATCAAATAGTTAAAAGGTGGAGTAAAACCGAAAATAAAGAGATAAATGTTCCTTGTCCTGCTGTAGTAGTATCATATAATAAAAATATGGGCGGCGTTGACTTGTGCAATCAACAAATGGAAGCTTACCGCACATGGTTTAAATCGAAGAAGTGGACGGTAAAAGTTGCAATACACTTCATCGACTTAGCAATAGTTAATGCTTGGATGGAGTACAAAGAAGACGCAACTAAAATGCAAATTCCCAAAAAAAACACAAAAGATTTAATGGAGTTCAAAATCAATATTTCCAAAGAATGGCTCTCAACACCAATTAACAACAAACGACCAAATGAAGATGAAAATCCTGTCGATGCAAATGAAGAACCTCCAAACAAAGTTCAAAATTTTAGAGCACCTATTCCAACAGAAAAAAAGGTGAAATATTTAAATCTATACTGTCTTTTATTAAAAATGTTATTAATTTTATTATTATTATTTTATTTTATTTTATTTAGCATTATGATGCGTATGATCACTGGCCAGAAGCTGACAGTTTAAACACTGCCCGGAATTGTAGAAGAGAGGGATGTAAAAGCAGAACTAGAAACAGATGTAGCAAATGTAATGTTTATTTGTGTCTTACTCCTAAAAAAAACTGTTTTAGAATGTTTCATATAAAATAAATTATTATTGTTATTATTATTATACAATTTTTTTTACCAATAGTTCTAACATGTTTATGTCTTACTAAAAAGAAGACTAAAATTAATATTTCATAAAATATGTGATTAAAAATATTTCAAATAAAATTAACTTTAACTTTTTACAATAAATATGAGTAGTAATTAATAGCAATAATAAACTACGAACCTACACAAATGTGTAGGTTTATGTTTAAGATTTTCAAATGGTTTAAAATTTTTTTTTTATTTAAAACGTTATCATGTTTGTATACAGATTCCATTTTAACAATAAAAAGTTGTAAAATTAAAAAAAAAAATCCAGGTTTTTAGAGGGTCCAAAAAAACCTGCACATTTGTGTAGGATCGTTTTAAAACTGATGTTGTGTGCGTAATCTCAAAGGCTCCAAAAGCCGTAAGCTTTAGAGACAAATCAACAAGTACCAAATTTAACTATAGAATTATGTTTATTTAGCAGAAAATATAGTAATATAGTAATATAGTATAATAGCGTGTGCGCGTGTGACGAGAAGTTGCTCAGGTCTCCGTGGCTATGATACATCTGCCCAGGCTGTCCCACGGGCTCCCTTATAAGTGGTGGCGGTTCCTTTGATTGTAGCGGCGCGTGCAGCTTGTGTGTGTGTGTGTGTGTGTGTTTCGATAGTTGTTGTCAATTCTTAGAATAGCGACTCGTGTCCATGATTTCTAATCGTGCACCTGTCCAGTGATTATGGATAGGGCGAATAGTACATGTTCTATTTTATATTGTTGCGATATTTATGTTAATTAGATATATTTGGTTTAAGGCCATAATAACATTATGCAATACGTGTCTAACAGCCGACCGTGTAGCACGTGTTTACTTTTCGCGAGTGCGCATTTATAAGCTCCCGATAGCACATCACCGTTGGACATACGCATACGGGTAATATAATTATATTATGTAACTTCCCTCCTATCGCGTAATGAGCAACGTTAATAAGACGGGCAGACCGTTATGTTATTATATATCGAATAGTGGCGCCTAGAGTCTCAAGGCCCGCAACACTGATCACTGTATGATTTTATATTCGTTTTTAATTAGGCACACGCTAACCTACACAAATGTGTGTGTTCGTCGTGAAAGGGATAGAATAGGAAAACACACCATAACTTTTAATCATTTCAACTTGCAGTTCCTTAATAGTTATTATAAATGGACAGAAGGATTATGGTCTTTATTATGTGAGAAGAAACCAAAAAATACAACAATAGAAGATATGGAAAATTATTACAACATTTTGAAAACTTCAGGAGTTCATTTGAAAGGAGATGGGAAAACTAAGAACTCAAAATTTCATAAATGGTCGACCGTTGTAAAACCTCTTTATAATCGAATGAAATATGAGGAAAGACAGTTTAACGAAGAAATAGCTAAAATTAAAAACTCTAAAACTCGTATTAACTTATTACCACTCATGAATCATTTGTCTAAACCAAACCCTAAACGAAGTAATATTCATGATAATAAAACCGTGACAAATGAATCACTTGATTTTCATCCGTCAGCAAGCAGTTCTATGTCTACAGATCCTGCAATTGAAAATATGATTAGTTTTTCTTAACCAGAGACTCAGGAAGGTAGTGGTTTATATAAAGATGTATTACCTCAAACACAACTAGTTTATTATGATGATCCGAATGAACTAGTAACTAGATTAAATATTTTAACATCATCACAAAGTGTTGGTAATACTGGTGTAAATAACGAAATTATATCTATTTTAGAAGAATTACGTGAGAGAAATATTATAGTCTAATGACAATATTAAAGAATATGGCTGATGAGCTACATCGACCAGCAAGAAAAATTTTTCATAGACGTAGCGTGGTAAGAAGGCTTATAGATGATCTTTGGCAAGCTGCACAGAAAGAAATTAAAACAGTAAGATTAACAAATTGCTTTGATTAATTATTAACAAGAATATATGAGTTAAATTAACTATACTTTAATTGATTCAATCAACATTTATTAAATTTAAATTAACCCGGTTTGTTAAATTGATAATATTTTATCAAATTGACAATTTATATTTGATTACATTTTAATAAAGATGTATGCATTAATTTAACAATAATTCTTTTGATTTAAGAAGCTTTTATTCGATCTGATATAATTTGGTTAGTTAAATTGATTATATTATTTTGTTTGAACTGTCGGTTTATTTTAGTTTGATCTATTTTTAGAAAAACTTATGGTTATTCCCACGTATGGTTGTTATTATTGATACGTTTGTTTAATTTAAGAAAAATGTGTTGTTGATATCGATATTTAACAAAAACTTTTATTATTTTTATTAAAGATAAGATAATACTGATATTCATTTCTTATTTTTACGGTTATGAATTCGTCATTTTTATTTCGTTGTTCGATGTGTGTGTGTGACGCTCTTATAACGCTCGTCAAGTTGAAGTATAAGGTAACGGAATTACAAAATACAGCAGGTAAGTATATACTAATACACTACCTACATAGTACATACAAGTAATAAATATAATATAATATTATAGTATTATAATAATTATTTATTGTTGTTTTTCTTAGTTACTATAAGTAGGTACATACTTTAACGATAAAAGCAATCCAAAATGATTTGTTTCATGTGTAAAAAACATCTACTCACATTTCCTTCTTTGATTGCTCATTATAAAATTATTCATTTACTAGGGCCACATAGCTCGTATACATGTATTGAAAATGATTGTACTCAATCTTTTCAAACTTTGAGTAGCTTTAAAAAACATTTCATTAAAAAACATAACATTGAAATCCATTTAGATAAAACAGAGCAAAATAATGAATTATTAATTAATGATAATATTGTCAATTTTTGTGATGTTCAAATGGTTAATAATGAGGTTAGTAATGATGAAACATTTAAAGAATTTCAAAATGTACCTAAAATACCTGCAATACCAGTCGTAAAAGAGATTGATATTAATAAAAGTATTGAGCTATTACATATGTCTGCAGTCAGTTTTGCGCTTTCTTTACATAATAACAATAATTTTTGTAGAAGTGATGTGTTAAATATTATTAATGATATCGAAGATAAAATTATAAAGCCAATAACATCATTATTAGAAGGTGTGACTCAAAGTGAAATTGCTGATCCTTTAGTTTTATCAAAATTTTCAAAAATAACATCAGCAATTTCAGGTTCTTTTAATTTATGTAAAACGGAATACTTATTGACAAAATGTTTAACCACTAATGAGCTTTTATGTGATACTCTTCATCAATTTACAATAAATAATGAAATTAATTTAATATCTCATAACGGTCATACAATGTATGATGAAAAGACAACTAAGGGAGTTTTAATGCCACTTAAATATCAATTTAAAAAATATTTTGAACTTAATAATAATCTTAACATACAATTAAAACGTTATAACAATTTAATAAATTATCCGGTTTCAGATGAAAATTGTAATATGACAAATTTTATACAAGGGTCCTTGTGGAAAGAAAAAATTGCCCTTTATCACAATAAGATTGTAGTTCCTTTTTTTATGTATATAGACGATTTTGAAATAAATAACCCTTTAGGATCAAAATCTATGAAACATGCTATTTCTGCTGTATATTATAGCTTTCCATTAAACGAACAAAGTTCCAAACTCAATAATATTTTTTTAGCAGCTCTTTTGAAATCACATGATTTAAAATCATATGGAAATGATTTATGTTTTAAACAATTAGTTGAAGAGTTTAATTCATTAGAAAAAAATGGGATATTAATTAATACTCCTGATGGGCCTAAAACTGTACATTTTATTCTTGGTTTAATTATTGGAGATAATTTGGGGCTTAATAGTGTTTGTGATTTTGGTAAATCATTTGCTGCAAATTATTTCTGTAGGTTTTGCAAAGCGCATAAAACATTAACACATACATTAAGCGAAGAGGATCCCACATTAATCCGTAATATTGAAAACTATACTCAAGATGTAGAAATCAATGATTTTTCACAAACAGGGATTAGTCAAAATAGTATTTTAAATAACATAAATTGTTTTCATGTTACTAAAAATTTTTGTGTTGATGTAATGCACGACATATTTGAGGGCATCAGTCATTACAATATGTGTCACATAATTAATTATTACACAGAAACATTAAAAATATTAACTTTAGATACGCTGAATTTTCGAAAGCAACATTTCAACTATGGTAAATTAGAACAACAAAATCTTTCACCTCCTATAGAGAAACATCATCTATCTAAATTCCACTTAAAAATGTCAGCAAGGCAAATGATGTGTTTTATTCATTTTTTCCCACTCATGATAGGTGATTTAATACCAGATGATGATGAAATTTGGATTTTTTTTTTAAACTTTCTGGAAATTATTGACATTTTATTAAGTCATGAATTGACACAACAAAGCTCTGTTCCTCGTTTAAAATTTTTAATTAATAAACATAATTCTAATTATATTTTATATTTCAATGACAACTTAAAGCCAAAACATCATATTTTAACCCACTATCCATCTATAATACTGAAGTCTGGACCTCCTAGACACTTTTGGTGTTTTCGATATGAGGCCAAACATAAAGAACTAAAAATGTATGCAAGGGCAATAACTTCGAGAAAAAATATTTGTCTCACTTTAGCAAAAAAATACTCATTTAAATTTGCACATTTTTTATTAAATCAACAAAATAACAAAGATTTTATTGTATTTGATAAACATAAAATTAATTCTGATCTTGAATTTTTATCTAATATCTTAAGCATGCCGTATACAAATATTACTAGTTTTTCAAAAATTAACTTTAAAGGAACAAATTATAAAATAGGGAGTTATGTTACTTGTTTCAAACATAACTTATGTCTGTATAAAATACTTGAAATTGTTATAGTACAAAATATTGCTATATCTTTTATTGTTGATCAAATTCAATTGGATTCTTATAATTCACATATGAGAGCGTATGAAGTTAGCTTAAACCAAAATAGACCTTCAAAGAGCTTAATAAGTATTGAGGAGTTTAGTAGTCCCCCAATAGATATTAATCAAGTTACTAATGGAAAATTAATGATTAGATTAAAAGATTATTTTAAAAAAATCGTATTTTGTCATTTATGTTTTATTATTATTATTTATAAGTTAAGGTTAAGTTTTTATAAGTTAGGTTTTTTTTTTTAATTTCAATTTTCAACCTATAGGGAATTAATTAATAATGCACTGTAAGGTAAAAAAAAATAATACTTAAATTAATTACATTATAGGTTATATTTTGTGTTACCAATGCAAAATATGAATGAAGCACATGATATTATTGGCAAGTTTATGGCTGAGGTGGTAAATGAAGAATATGACAGTTATTTAGATACTGATAATACAGATTTAACTGAATTGCAACAGGTAACCATTCCTGCAGATTATGAATTGTGTGGCTCGCAGCTAATTGATAATAACCAACCTAATGTGACAATATTTGATGGTTCTTCTGATTCTTCAACTTACAACAATATGTCAAATGAAGAATTTGCTTTATCAGAAGTAGAAAAAAATAAAATAAAATCTCTTCTTGATGGATGGAATATGAGATATTTATTTCAAACTTTCATCAGTGAGTAAAATGTTTTTATAAACCTTAAATAATAATTTACAATTACTATATTAAATTCTTATAATTTATTATGTTGTCCTGGTCCATTAAATTAAATTTTACAAGTTTTTATTGTAAACTAAGAAATCTAAACAAAATGGTTTGATATTTAATAAAAAAGCCTTCTAATTTTATATTAATTATTATTTATATAGTTACTTCCTTGTATTCAAGTAGCTTAAATTATATTATTATTTGTGATTTTAGATATTAAAATTAAAATTTGAAATGTCCATCATTGCAATTTATTTTCAGCTGAATGTATTGACATTGAAGCATTACAGTATATAACCACAGACCAAATATTCAATGTTTTAAGACGCTATCCTATGGGTATTCGTATCAAGTTTGCATACTATATTAAAGATTGGCAGAAATCCAAGTACAGCAACAATTCCAGTGAATCACCTATACTCTGCACAATTTCATCTAGTTCATTACCAGCACCAGTACCATTAGAACAACAGTTTTCTCTGGATGAAGTCTTAACCAAAACTACACAAGGTACTTTGATAACAAACTATTATAAATGCCATAATAGTTTAAATGAAAGTCATAGAAATCTCTTGGTGGATGTAATTATTGCTAACCTTCTTGAAAAAAATCGTTCAATGTCTGTGATATTAGCAAACAATATTGCTGATACGATTGTTGGAACTTTCACTACCGAAATAAAGGTAATTTATACTACAACTTTTGTACCACATTAATAACATTATGTGTAGGTATCCAAGTATTATAGTTATATTTGTTTTAAAGGAAATATACTTTACAAAAGATGGCGAAAAAAAATGTCCTAAAGGAAAGTTATACTCAAAATATTTTAATAAACTTAGAAGTTTCAAGAGCCAAGGATTTGCTGTTTCTTCACAAGTGTCCAAAGTACAAAATAATACTGAAAAAGAAATTCGAACACATGTTTTTGAGGAATCAGACATTGAAATAGGTAATACAAAACTACTACAATAGATTGTATTGTTCCATTAATTAGTTAAATGTTTTTATTTTAGTAACTGAAGATGATGCCATTACTCTTATGGCTAGTTTAAAACACGAAGAGCTAACATGGCCTGAAATCGAAACCATATGGAAAAAAACTACCGGTTACCGATTACAACAAATTAAAGCAAATTCTTCACCAGCTGGAATACAAAATACATGGCCTCAATACTCTCAGCCACTTGGGTATAAACTTGTAAGTAAAAATAGTTATTTTAATAATTTACAACTATAGGTAGGTTCTTAATAATTTATTATAACTTAATAACCATAAAAATATATTTTTGTGGAATTATGTTTTATTTTATTTATAATTTAATATTTATTTAATCTACAATTACACACAATATAACATAATAAAAATTAACAAAGTCTATAGTATTAAATAAAATGTTAATAATTGACAACCAGTCACTGGACTTCATAAGGTACCTATGTAAAGTAAAAACTAAAAGTCAATTGAACAATTGAAAGAAATACATTTTAAATAAATAATAAATAACAATTTAATTTCTTTAAATTGTTCAATTGTTTGTTATTTTAAATACCTGATAAATTGCTGTCTAAACTGGTCTTAAATTATTTAAAATATTTTACACAGTACTCTAGGCTTTGTTTATCTTAATTTTTTTTTTTGTATGGCCCTCGGCCATTTCGTCGCCCTTTATCTTAATTATATAATAGTTTATTTAGTTTATTTTACCTACATAATATTGTATATAAAATACAAGTATTACACTTCAATTTATTATTATATATGGTATGTTTTTTAATAAACTTTTTGTTAGTTTTCATTCATATTTTACTTTAATTATAATTATTAGGTACCATTTTCAAATAAAAATAATAGTTACAATTTATATCACTAAAATATAATACAGATATGGATATGAGAGAATAAATAACCTATACCTATTTATGAAATTTTTATGAACTCAATTAATATTTTTTGTTATATTAATTGTTTAAAAAAAATTCTTTTTAAGGTTGATATTGATTTCAAAAGACTATATATAAATGCTTCCGACATGATAACAATGTATGAAAAATCATTGATAAAATTAATGCAAATTTTGGATGAACGTGTAAAAGACCCTAGTTGTCGCAAAATGTTGGAAGATATGAAAAAAGATGGTAACATATCAGAGAGTAAGTTTAATTATTTAATTATAAAATTAATAATTTGCAAATATATTCATACATTTAACTTTTGGTATAATTAAATTAAAATAATTTTTCAGATTCCAAAAATTCTATTGTTTTGTACTTGCTTCACGCTCTCTTTGTACCTACTACAAAAAAGGCCTACATCGATTCTAGTGGAAAAAGATGTTTACAAAAATTTTCAATAAAAGATTCACAAAACAGTCTGGTGATGGTGGCAAATACAGTAATTGAACTAGAAGAAAATATGAAAGCTAGAAAGCAGAAAAATATTCCAATACAGCCTTGTATGTTAATAGTTGGCACAATCATAAATCCTTCACAAATTATTATTTATTTTGATGAAATCAAGTATAAGTTTTTCTCTGTTATTAAAGCAATTGACTTATGTTTTAAAATCTATCATGTTTTTAACATTGAGTACCCGATAGAGTCTTTAAATGTTTGGCTATTCATACAACGTTATTTTTTTAATATTAAATCAAAATTTGATAAATCATGTCCTATAATACAACAAATTATTTCTGAACTAAAAAAATAAATAACTAATTAAAAAAAATACTTATCTTATGTACTTTTATTTGTAAAAAAATATTTAAATACATATTTATTAAAACAAACTAATTTGTGATTTTTTATACAAAATTTCCTTCATTTAATTTGGCTATATTTTAGATATAACCTACTTGTTTAGTATCCAGGTACCTACAATATTATATTATATTAAACATTTGGTTTAGTATACTGAAAATAGTATGATGTCAGAAATGAATATTCAACTTTATTACATACATATCATTTAGGTAATATTATCACTAATAAATATTAAATACCAACAGAATTTTTCAAAAAATTGTTTTATATAAATTGCTTACTTATATATATATATATACCAAAGGGACATGCAGTGTTGTGTTTTAAATCTTTTTTAGAAGAGAAATTTAAAAATAATGTAGTTGTAAAAATGTGTAACATAACATAACAATATTAAATATGGATAATGAAATAGTTGCTCATTTGCCAAAGTGTAGTATATTCACTAAAGATTAAATTGACCACCCATTTTTAAAGGGGGGGGGGGTGGTTATTTTTTCTCTAGTTTTTGTAGAATTTGAATATTTATCACATGTAACTTTATGACAACATTGATAAAAAAAAAAAAAACAATTGGGGGGAAGCACTCCCCCCAACCATAGCTGCACTGTTAGATTTAACAATGTAACTATTTAAATCAACAATATATTTCTATTGTTTCAAATAAATGTTTTTATCAATTTAATTGAATACTGTATAAATATAACAAAACTATTGTTAATATTACAAAATTCTATAAATGTAGAATTGTTAAAATAAACAATAACTTTGTTAAACTGAATGAAAACTTTATAAACTTAACAAAACGTATTGTTAATTTAACAAAATGCAATAAATTTGAAGTTTAAAAATTAACAAATCATTTTTTTTGAACTAAACAGGAATTTTAGCAAATTAATAATACTGTTTGTTAATCTAAGGATTAACAAAATGTAAATTTTGAAATCAACAAACGGGTTTGTTGGCCCTATGTTAACAATAATTTTGTTGATTTAATTGTTATTTTTTTTAATTTTACCTAGATTTTTCTTTCTGTGTGATATAATAGATATGCAGTCACATTCTAGACAAAATAATGGTTTTAAGTACATTTTAATTATAATCGATACATTTACGAAGTATGTGTGGTGTGAGGCACAGAAAAATAAAACAGCAAAGGAATGTACAAAAGGTATATTAAAAATATTAAAAAAAATCAACCAAAATTATTACAAACAGATAATGGTACAGAGTTTTACAATAAAATATTTCAAAGTGTTATGAATAAGTACAATATTAAACATTATTCAACATACAGCAATATAAAGGCTGGTATGGTTGAACGTGTTATAAGAAATATAAAAAATAAAATTTACAAATATTTTACATCAACAGGTTCCTGGAATTGGTACAATTCAATTTCAAAATTAGTAAATAATTATAATAATACAAAACATTCAACGATAAAATGTACACCAAAAGAAGCTCGGATCAACCCGATTCAACACGGAAAAAAATAACTTAGTTGTATACAACAAAACAGTTTTGTAAATGGTTTTATGGTTGTTACAGCCAAAACATACTTATCACAACCAGAAATGTTGCAATTTTTAAAGAAGTGTACTGGAGTTTTCACAGTAATAATTTTGTTAATAAATGTTATGTAAATTTAACATGCTTCATATTTATAATAGCAAATGTACTGTAACAGATACAAAGTTAAAAAAACTACCAAAAGTTTGAGTAATCGTGAAAAAACATTCTTGTATTTTCTACCAAATTATCATTAAATGTAATGTAAAAATGTTGCTATAATTACTAGACATAAATGGCATTAAATACGATTTATATATTTTACATTAACTAGATGTTATTCTAAAATAACCAAACCGTTCAGTAAATGGTACTATTGTTGGATAAAAATAACCGGTCGTTTGGTAAAACCTATCCAACAGTTTCACTGATATCACAATTTGTATTGCTATTGTTGCAATCGATCTGTAATCTCGCGGCGGCATCGTGGCGACCCGCACACTATTTAAGCATTATTCAACTGTAATTACTACGACCACAACTGCCATATTTGTACCTACAACATTACTGCCAGCTGTAAAAATGGCCGATTCCGATGTTAAAGACATGCTGTCAGCTTGGGGATTGGCATCTTACATTGATGTATTCCAAGGTAAGACATTTTTTATACCTACCTACTTTATAGTAAATATAATAAGTGGCCGGTAGGTACCTATATTTACATAATAGCATTGAGTAATGAGTATTTACCTATAAATATTATATTATATAGTTTACCTACAAATATAATATATTATATTATATTATGTACCTACCTACTCAATGGTGATGTGTAGACTAAACATAAGTGTTACATAAGTGATCTTTTAAACCTTAAGGCATTAAATTATTCGTTGGTACTTATTTAATAGAAATGTACATACATACACGAATAGATTTATCCAGCTTATAATAATTGAGAATGGTTAATTGCTATTGCTAATTTGCTTATTTACTTTTGATTTTATATATTATTGTCAGAACATGGTATAGATTTATCCTGCTTCTCACTACTTACTGATGATATGCTAAAAGATGTCATTCCTATGGTTGGTCATAGGGCTAAGTTTAGGGCAAATTTAGAGGAGTGGCGTAAGGTCCTTGCCCTAGCAAATAATCAGGTGTCAGTTATGGTAAGAATTATGTATTTACTTATTTTCCAATTCCAATAAATTACATGTAAATAATTTCTAGATAGGTAATTAAAAACTTAAATTCTGTAGGCCTGTTATAAATTGTGATGTCTTTAATAATTTATTATCTTTTAATATAACAATTATTTCGTATAGCTATGCTTTTATTATAACATTATATTTTACTTATGGATGCAGTGGCAGCGTGACAAGGGTTCTATGAGACCCGGGTCTCGTGGCGATTTTCAGGACATTTGTCATTTATTATTTTTAAATTTTAGAAAATTATTTGAATGTTCAATCAACCATTAAAGAGACGTTAGTATACCATCGCTTAACAATCTAGTATTTGTTTCAAACATCTCACTTAAATGATTAAAATTAATGCTCCATAATATGGAGACTAATGTTAACTTATTATTTTTTATTTCAGAAAAGTATATATTTTCTATAAAAATATCTGAACCGAGTATTCTCTATCTATCCCACTTTATCAAAGTACTAAGTACTTAAAAATATTATCCAAACATTTTGGGAGTGGGTGGTCCCTAAAATTTTTTTTGTCTCATGAATAAAAAATGTTCACGCCGCCACTGATGGATGTGTTAGGTAAATAGTTATAGTTTCAATAGTTTCACATAAGTGTATAATCCAATTCATAATAACATTAATATCCGTTAATAATATATTATGTATATATATTTTATTTTAAGGACATTTCAAACAACTTTGATTTAACCCCTGATTTTACTATTGAAAGTCCATCATCAGTATCATTAACAAGTCTTACTACTACTAATTCAGAATATGAGGTTTATCATGAACCATCAGCATCAAGTAGTAGCTTAAGCGAAGGTGCAGCTCTTGATGTCCTAGATACTCAGGCAAGAATTGAAACTGATAATTCTGCAGTTGTAGAAAAGGTAATTTTTTCTAGTTTGTACAGATTGTACAATATTAATGTATATTATATGATATAATTTAATCATAATTACTAATTTAAGTAATTATGTTAGTGTACTAAGTTTTGAACAATTTTAACTTAAACTTTTGTACAAGAAATATGATATTACTAAATTAATTTATTCATGTGATATTTATAAAAATTGTATCACTTATTTATAAAAATGACTAAAGTATATTGTATTATATATTTTTCAGAGCACTGAATTGTTGGATTATTTACATAGTAACACAGAGGGAAAGGCTCTGTTAGCCACTTACAATAAAGATAGTGTATTAGACAATAGTGGCCGAAGAAAGTTATGCAATTTGATAGTAAGAAGAGAACTCCAAGACGATCATGATAAGTCTATAAAAACACAGCGTTTACTTTTACTCGCTAAGGAAATAACTGAAGTTTTTCCCAAAGAACATATAAGCACATACTTTATACCTTACATGAATTATGGTAAATATATAATATTAAGCCCATATTATATTTTTAATATTAGTATGATTATCATACAATATTTTATTCGTTGCAGGTCCATTGATGAAAAAAAGTGCCAAAGGGAAACTCCTTGATTGCTTTAATAATAGAAAAAGAGAGTAAGAAGAGAGGCAGGTATTATTGCTGCTAGACGCTCTCCTTCTATTGGACGTATACCTGAATCTATTTCATTATTAAACCAAACAGAAACTGATACAACAGGTAATGTTTTATGAGTCTTAACATTTTAATGGTCATTTATTTTTTAAACCATATTATTATGTACATTTTCAAATTACAGGTAATGAAAATGTTGATGACCAAATTAAATGGCTTAATAATTCTTCTGACCCGTGGAACATAGTGGAAAATTACTGGACCATCACCAGAAAAGAGCGTTTCAAAAACGTGTTTAACTCAAATTGTAAAGATCTACAGTACATGAAAAACTTTCCTGCATTGAAAAAACCAAATGGTTTTAACCTTGTAAGTATCAAAAAATTATAATAATTATTTTTATTTTGTCTTGTCCAGCTGATTGACAAAGTTTGATTTTTGTAATGTGAATATTTTAATAAATTATGCTGAACTTTGTTCCAGTTGGTTAAAGACTTTGACTTTCTGTATCCTGATAAAAAAGAAAATCTTTTAGAACATTTTCCTGTATATAAAGAAAAAATACTGAACTTGGGGAAAAAAATATCCGATAATCTTAAAGATTCTACATTAAAGTGTATTTTAAATGAATATCTAGATCTTAAATCAGGTAATCTTAATTTTAAATACCAATTAAAAAACCATTTTGGTAATTCACTTATTAATTTGTTTTTTAGAAAGTGAAGAAACTTCATCATTGGCAGCCTTCCTCATTCTTCCATTTCTCTTTTTCCCAATAACAACCAAGAGGAAAAAGGGACAATCTGCATGTAGACCTTCAAAAGTTGAAGTCAGGGATAGTTTTATCACTCATTTAAGGTCGCATTCTGAAGTTAAGGAGACTATTACAAGACGTAAAGAAAAGTATGCTCGTTTGGGGATCACTTTGCAGCCACTGGTGATAATAGTAGGACCTGATATCAATTCAATTTCACAATATTTTGTTTTTGTTGATGAAACATACTATGTTTTAAACTCAATTGTTTATGCAGTTGATTGTTGTTTTGAGGTTATACACGCTTTAAATCTTCAGTATTCTATAGAATGTTTACCAATATGGACTTTTATCCAAAAAGGATTCTATAAAATAAAAACATCTTGGGATACGGAATATGTATCAGTAAATTCTCTTCTCAGTGATCTAGATATAAATGAAATTTCATAAATGTTAACATTTTATTTTAATATGTATAAGTAAATGTAATAATATAACAATATTCATACATCAATAAAAAATATAAGTTAACTAAACTA